CCAAAAATAAAACAATCAGTAATGAGTATCTCATTTATACTAGGCAATTTGCTAAACAAGTATTTTATTCTAAATGTAATTATGCATTTGATAATATCCTATTTTATAAACAAGGAAACTGAAGGTTAGCAAGAGTAAATAACTTCCTCTCCTTTACATTTTCTCAGAAGATCTAAAATTAGTGTACAACACCAACACAGCCACATCAGAGTTTATAGCAGCACAATTCACAATAGCTATATTATGGAATCATCCCAGATGCTTATCAATAAATGAATATATAAAGAAATTGTGGCATGCGTGTGTGTGTGTGTGTGTGTGTATGCAATTGAGTTCTACTTAGCCATAAAAAAGAAGGAGAGTGTGGCATTTGCTGGTGAATGGATGGAAATAGAGAATATCATGCTAAATGAAATTAGTAAAAGTCAGAATCTCAAAGGTTAAATTTTTTCTCTCATATGCAGAAGCTGGAGTCAAATAAAGGATGGAGGTTAGGGGAAGGGTAGGGATAAAATAAAGAGCCAATCAAATACAAATTAATAGACAAGCAAAAGGAAGTCTAGTAGAGGAAGGAGAGGGGAGGGAGAGCTGGAGGGAAAGGAGGAGGTCATGAACTGAAGCCAGTGTCCATGCCCGTAGGAGCCTGTGGAAATGAACCCAATATTGTGTATGACTGTAAAGCTCATTAGGGCTTTATAAACATAATAATGACAAAATAATATAAAATAATAATAATAAAACATAAAAAAGAACCTAAAATATATTTTTTAAAAGAATAAATATCTTGTCTGAGATCTTGTAGATATGAATGAGGAAAGCAGAAATGGAATCAATGAGTTTGGCCTCAAATCCCTGAACGACCCTGCTGGACTCTGAGAAGCAGAATGGGAGGAGGTGTCCCCTGAGAAGTCAGCTGTGGGTCAGGTTGTGGGTCTGGATATTGGTGCAGTGGGGGCACTTGAAGGAGCGACTTTTTCCCTCCTCTCACTGTGAAGAGAGTTGGCAGGATCCAGGGAAGTCTTCTATGGGAACCTCCGGGAAAATGAACTTTCCGTTTTGGTTGTGATATGAAAGGCTTTTAGCCATATAAAAATGAGATGTTTTCACATGAAAGTCTTTAACTCCAGATATTTAAATGGTAAATTTTTTACCTCACTGTCTTTCCTCTGTGTTCATTTTAATTCTTGTACAAATTGGCCACCATAATCAGAATAAGTCTAAAAAGAAAGGAGTCACTACTAAAGAGAAAAATGTGTTTTGTCCTCCTTTCAGAGACTGTTAGATTTTGGTGACTCCTTGAATCAAGTATTTGCTGAATGAATGGGTGAGTGAATTTGGAAGATTAGCTGTGAATTCCTGAAATATACACTGTTAAAGTGAAGTTCCTGAAATTATTCCAGTAAAAGCAATGTATAGAAAGAAAAATATAGAATTACACCTGTGTAGAAAGCATGCAAAAGTCATCCTACAGAAGGGAACTCTCATACATTGTAAGTGATAAAGCAAATTAGTGTAGCCATTACCAAAAACAGTATGGGAGATTCCTCAAAAAAAAAGAACTATGATGTGATTCAGCAATTCCACTCCTGGGTTTACATTTAAAGGAAAGGAAGTCCATATGTTTAACAGATAACCTGCACTCTTGTGTTTTTTGCAATTTTTACTGTTCTCAATAGCAACCTAGGTGCCTATCAGCAAATGGATGGATAAAAATGATGTGATATGCGTACAAAACAGAATATTATCCTGCTATGAAGAGAACGAGGCAATGTGGATAAGCTTGGGGACATGATATTAAGTGAAATAAGGCAGGCATACAAACACGTATACCATGTGTGCTCACTGACATTGTAAGCTATGAAGTTGATGTCAGAGATATCAAAGGTAGTATAGTGGCACCAGAAGCCAGGAAGTATATGGCGGGTTGAGAAAGGATGGTTAATACGTATGGAGAAGTTGGACAGTAAGTACAACTTCTACTGTTCTGTAGTACCTTAGGATAATTATGGTTGATAAAAATAAATTATGTATTTCAAATGACCTAGTAGAGAATATTTTGAAGTTTTCTAACACAAGAGAAATGATAAATGTCTGAAGTGATAGATATGTTAATTAACCTTATCCAGTCATTTCCATATTGTTGTCAAGGATTGAAATATCATACTACTTTTCTGTTGCTGTAACAAAATACCCAAGGCTGAGTAATTTATAAAGAACATAAGTTTATGTAGCTTGTAGTTCTGCTTGGCTCTGGCCAGGGCCTCACAATGGATGGTATTAGACTGGTGGGTGTGTGTGCAAATGAGAGTGATTTCATGGCAAGGCAGGAAGGCAGAGCATAAAGAGAAGCCATATTGCTCTTTTTATAGCAACCCCTTGCAGGAACTAACCAGGGACTCACAAGAGCTACACTAATTCCTTCTGGGTAAACACTCCCTGGTAACATAGTCATCCCACACTAGACCCCATCTCTTAAAGGGTTCACCACCTCAGAACATCATTACACTGAGGATCAAGCTTCCAACATGTGTACCTAAACCATATGCAAACAAAGCATGCCAAACTTCATAAATATGTACAGTCATTACTTGTCATTTAGTAATTATTTGTAATCAGCCACAGAGCAGGCCATTCGAGGCCATATCTTGGAGGAACTTTCAAAAAGTAACCCCAGGAAGGGGAAACTTAGGAAATGTTGGTGATTTTATTTTCCTTTGATTTTGCTCTTTATTTCTTAAACAAGAAAGATCAGGTATGCATAGAAAAACTTACTTGGTATTGTGCAAATTTACTTTTTAGACATTTTTATTTAGTTTCCCTTCCTCTGAATCAGTCTGTTGATACCATTTTTAAAAAGTACAATGTTAGGGGCTGGGGATGTGGCTCAAGCGGTAGCACGCTCGCCTGGCATGCTTGCGGCCTGGGTTCGATCCTCAGCACCACATACAAAGAAAGATGTTGTGTCCGCCAAAAACTAAAAAATAAATCAATCTCTCTCTCTCTCTCTCTCTCTCTCTCTCAAAAAAAAAAAAAAAAGTACAGTGTTACACATGTAAGCAGTTAAGTAGTTTCTAGGTAATACAAGTCCAATATTTTTCCCTCTTAATATCCTGCAGAGTACAAGGAGTTATTCTGTGAGCCACTGAATACATGTTTGCCCCTAAAATAGTTTACCAGTGATAGTAGTAACACTTTGTTGGTCAAGATTTTACTATAGGGAAAGAAGCCTATTGGGGCAGGGTGAACTGAAGAATGAAAACTTTGGACTGTCTGGCTACCAGATTTTCATATTCAGACTCGAGGAGGGATAAAATAAACATTTCAGAGAGTATGCTTTTTTTTTCTTTCTCTCCTTCCCTTTTTCTTCTCTCTCTGTCCTCCTTCCCACTCTCCCTTCTTTCTTGTCTTCTATTTCTATCTCCACACCCTCCCCTTTTTTTTGCAGTGCTGGTGTTTGAACCCAGGGCCTTATGCATGCTAATCACAGGCTCTACTACAGACTATACTCCTACTCCTCTAATATATTTTCTATGTGTTGCCTTTAGACTTACCCTCTTCTAGACCCCTAAATTTTCTTTATCACTAGCAGTTGCATTTATCTTGACAAACACAAGTTTTCCATGAATCTATCCTTTTCTTATGCTGTGGCATAGCTTATCTTTTTTAAAAGTTCCATTTTTATTCAGCCTTAGCCTTCCATTCCTGAATGCCATCAGAATTTCCTCTGGACTGATTTATCGTATGTTCCTTGTTTGCTATTGTTTGCTAGCAAACTTGGATCTCTTCTGTTTGCCTCCTTTGTTTCTCTGTATGATGTAAGATCTAATTACCACCCAGCATGAAGTAGCAGCTAAGATGAAAAAGGCAGCAAGAGCAGGCAGCAGCTTCACTGAGAGCTAATCAGCTGCCCCTCCCTGTGTATTCAGCTGAAGGAGGAAGGGAAGCATCATTCACCAGAGTGACTCATATTTTAAATGTTTTTTTTTTCCTTTCTTGATTTGAGACTGAAAAGGGGGATTTGTTCAAATTGTTATAGAAGCAAAACACTGGACAATACTTTTAATTTGCAATCAGTAGTCTTTGATGCTTCTTTGGATTGCACAGAGTATTTTTCATCATCAGGATTACTCAGAGTAGTCCCATCCTATTATCCTGGCATTTAAATGTAGATACAACAAACATTTCCAGGAATAAAAAGAAAATCAAGTGGATAATTAATCATTTTTAATAAGGCTTAGAATTTTACTCAATTTTGAGCTTTTGGTTTCCAAATTTGCCTAAAACTATCTCTAGGTTTATGTATAAAGCATATGGCATCTTACTATAGTAGCTTCTTGGCTTTTTTTTTTTTTTTTTTTTGTGGGATGGATGAGTTGGATAATTAACCTTGTGTATGTGGGGAGGGAGTTGATAGTATTTTTAATTTTTAAATGACTATGATTTGAATTTTCCTTTATTAGATTGTCAAAGATTAAAAATTAGAAAATATGTGATATTGGGTTCATGTGAAGAGACATAATACTTGCTTTTTGGGGAGTATATTTTGGTCTGACAATTCTAGAAGGACAATATCTATCAAAACTGAAAGTACATATACCCATGACCTAACAGTGCCACCTCTAGGAATCTACCCTTGAACATCCTATAAGACACATGTATAAAATGTTCCTTATGGTATTATTTTTATGTAAATATAAATGCAAAAATGGTCATTAATAGATTAATAAATAAAGTAGGATATTTCTCCTCTCTTTGTCCCCCATATAAACACACATGCACACACCCATACACTTACAGATTGGTGGGTGAAAAGACTTTACAAAAAAGCCCTGTTAGCTCTTAACTCTGGGGGATAGGATTGCAGATCTCAGGTAAAAGGGTGGATTTTGGGGTGCAGTGATTTTGTGCTTTTTAAAGTTTTTTACCCTGTGTTTATGGTGTTTTCATAATTGAAAATAAATTTTATGTTAATAACCAAATGTGGGTTTTTCCCCTCTTAGGACTCAGCCCAGGAGAGTGTTATTACTCGAGATATTCATCGTACTTTTCCTGCTCATGATTACTTCAAGGACACAGGAGGAGATGGTCAGGAATCGCTTTACAAGATCTGCAAGGTAGGGCTCTCCCCTCTGTTTTTTTCTAGAATGTTGTACAGGGCTGTTTTAGGAGCCTATTTTAATTAAACCTTTTAAGTTTTCCCCTATTTTTGTGCCTTATTTGCATAGTACCATATTTTTTGCTGTGTACTCCGGGATCCTCGATCCAGCGCCCTTCTCAAAGGGGACTTTTCTTCCATGTGTTCCTAAGGAGGCACGGCATAGCTGCAGCATGGTTCTACTGCTAACAGAAAGGAAAAGGATGTCCTCTCAGGCTGCGCTGTGAAGGCTCTGAAGAGTCCCAGAGGACTCTACCCTTCTGACTAGATAATGTGGTGATTGTCTGAACTTTTGACAGGAAGGCAAGAGTGAGAATCAATGTGGGGCCTGTTGTTGAATCCTGGCAGGTTCTCTGATTCTGTTGATATACTCTGTGCTAAGTCACATTATACATCCTTTTGTTTATACGTTTCATTTTGAAATCTTTCCTCTCCCTCATTATTAGTAGGCCTGGAAAAACACTGCTTCCTGCTTTCCAGTGAACTGCTTAGTTACAAAGACCCTGTCTATGTCAGTGGAGAATAGCTAACAAGTGATTAATTGCTCCAGGTTACATCAGAAATGCAGAAGGAAGTGTAGTGGATATACTCATCTTGTTCTTACTAAGAGAATCTCTAAGAGAGATTGTTAATAATAGTGAGCTACATAAAACTCAGATAATAATTTGGGGAAAAAGCAAACACTGAGGCTAATTTGTAAGTTAGATAATCATTACCTGAGTAGCAAATTTAGCCTTTTTAATGAATAGTGAATACTTGCCAGTAGGTAGTCTGAAGTGTTTTCACAAATCTGTTCGTTTTATATTTACTGTTTTTTTTTTAAATAGCACTCATAAAAGCACTCGCCTACATATGCCAACCAAGTACAGTTGTTTAATTTTGCAAATGGCACATGTTTCATTAAAATCTGCTTGCATGTTGGTGGTTTTGCCCTCTTCCCACTCCTCCGTCTTTTTTCTTTCTTTCTCATTTTTTTATCTCAATATTTTGGAATAATATAAATATACACTGATCAGAAATATATTTTAGGGGGGGTACCGGGGGTGTAGCTCAGTGGCGGAGTGCTTGTCTAGTATGCATAAGACCCTGGGTTTGATTCCTGGCACTACAAAAAAAAATATTATTTTTATATAGATGTATCATTTAGAGCCAGAAATACACAAATAACTTAAAATCTGAGGGAATAACAATCTTTGAAAAGTGATACATTGGGGGTGGGACTGTAGCTCATTGGTGGCATGCTCGCCTTGCATGCTGGGTTCGATCCTCAGCACCATGTAAAAATAAATTAAAAATGAAGGTATTGTGTCCATCTACAACTAAAAAAAAAAAAGAGAGAGAGAGAGAAAAGAAAAGTTATGCATCATCAAATTGAAAAAAATACCAAAATTATTGCACTGTGTATAATATAGTCATTATAGACTTATAAAAGGTAAATTTAATTATTAAAAATTTTTTGAATATTTTTGAAATTCTACAAGCTAACCAGCTTCTTGTTTGTATAAGAAGATGGGAAAAATTTTCTATAGTTTCTGAGTTTATTTAGAAGGATCTAGCTTATAGCATATGGAGCAACATTTTCCCCCTAGCATTTAGTGTATTTTCAGCCAATCAGTGTTTTTTTCTCTTCAGTTTTTCTCTGATTGTTATTACTTTCTTCATATAACTAAAACAGATGGTTCCATGTTCTTGCAAGCTCTGACTTCTTATTTTTCTCCATTGTAGTAAAATTAGTATTTGCTCCATTATATTAGGGAAGTATCTGAAACATTACCAAACATAAATTTAAAAGTTAAATGATGGCACTATTAAATATTTGATATGCTTTTCTCTGGTATAGCAGACAATAATCCAACTTTAAGTTTATTCAGAAATAGTCATTAGTGCATTATATAGATAAAAGTATAAAAATGTAGATCAAAGATATTTATTGACAAATAACTTAAATCACATTGAATTTTGTGAATATGTAGAAAACAGGTAAAATCATATGTAAGATAACATATAGAAATTTTTATACATATACATAAAATAATTTTATAACAGTCTTTGATGATGGAGGTGAGCAGAAATGTATATATCAGCAAATATTTGAGAAACTAACCTATGGTATGGACCAGTTGGTTTGTGATTAACACAATTCCTTCTCCTCTTGATATACCCTTATTTGGCAGTTTGGTACTCATGTCAGGAAATGTTAGGAGGTAGTGATACCTCACAAATATGATTGCATATTTGTTAGTAACTTAGGACTAAATATTTTTCTCAAGCTTCTACATCTACTTTGTTTTTTGAGTCCAGTTTGAGCCATAGTTTTTTTGCATGGTTACAACTCTCATCCCCAATCCCTAAAAACTGCTTGTGTGTGACCTTAACGCTGAGTATAATCTACCTGCTCTTATTATTTTTGGTCACAGAATGTTATCCAGCATTATATATCATACTCAGCAATTTGCCTTTGGGTTTTTTTTTCTAGTTATGATGCACAGAACTGAATAAACATTAATGATACCTTGATCATATGTATCAGCCACTTTGGTAAATGATCTATAAATAAGAACAGTTTTACTTTTTCTTTACCAAGACTTATTTTTTCCCTGTTTTATTACACTGATCACAACCTCCGGATCAGTGTTAAAATGAAGCAATGATAATAGACATCCTTGTCTTGCTTCTGATTTTAAAGGATTTACCATGAAGAATGGCGTGTTTTATTCACATCAGCAAAACAATTATAGACATCTTGTAAAACAAAACTAAACAAAACAGAGTCTTCCATCTGTGGGAATCCTTTCACATGTGTCTCCTCATTCTGATAATTCTTCCTGAAGAGAGCTTGTATAATGATGCAATATGCCGTACTTTTAAATTGAGCAGATATTTGAAGGAGAATTTCAATTGCAGTAAGTTTAGAAACCAACCTTGGTTTCAAGGATATGACAGTCTGACTTTGTAATTGAAAAGTTTTGTGTGGCTCTGGTGAAATGAGAAATGATCTGGAATGTCAGATTAGAGGGAGACTGTTAAAAATTTACTATCCTTGTTTTACTGGTCCTGTCAATTCCAGTTTCACCTCTTAATATCTTTTTCAGAGTAGGAGGAAATCAAAATAGTCCAAAGCTTCTTTTGTCATAAATTTATATGAGGAAAGTTGAGCTGAAAGTATAATAGTAAAATGAAATTCATAGGAGGCTGCAAATGAGAGTTTTCTGAAAATGAAAACAATTTGATGGGCTGTAGAGCACTCATCTAGCATGTGCAAGGCCCTGGGTTCGATCCTCAGCACCACGTAAAAATAAAATGAGGGTATTGTGTCCAGCTACAACCAAAATAAAATATTTTTTTAAAAAAACCAATTTGGTCCTTGCTTCTTCCCTCACTCTTTTTCCCATTTAGTTAGGTCAATATTGTATTTTTTAAAAGTTGTTGTGGAGCAGGTCCCACAGAAAACACAACAAGTCCCAGTTTTGTCCAAATTGAAGAGTTTTTATTTAGCTGGCTGGCCAGTGACTGCCCCCTGCAGGACCCATAACTGTGTCTGCAAGGAACAGCCCTGAGCCTGAGCATTTTAGGATAGTTTAAGGCAAAAACCATATCCCGGTTGACTTAGCTGCAAGCAAGCAGGTACAGAAGCTGGACTGGGCAGTGAGCAAGACAGTGCAGTGGTACATTGGTATATCCCACTGGATTTTCCAGGTTGGCACAGCAGCAAGCAAGCAGAAGGGAAGTGGGTCAAAATGACCCTACTTCAGTACAAGTTAGAGAATGGTTGCTAACATCTAGATAATCAATCTCTGACAAGGTACATTGCCCAGGAAAAATGGAAACCTAAGAGAACAGTTTTACATTGTATAAGAATTATTGTTTTGTGTTGCCAAGATGCTATGCTGCATAACTATTAATGGGTACAGTCATGGGGCTTTCCCATGGGAGAAGCATTTCTTACATGATATGGAGTCTCAGAGTAAAATGGAGTCTGTTTGGTCATTGCCCATATAGCCTGGCCCATAATAGAGTGTCCTTGAGAGGGGGCAGAATATACTATTATCTCAAGTATCGTTAGCACTTTTCTAATTTAAATATGATATAAAAAATGTGTTTTGGGTTGGGAGACAAGTTGGTACAGGTTAAATGACTGGGCATCTGGAAACAATTGTGTTTGAATCTGAAAATACGTCATTTGCTGGTGAGTGGGTGGCAATGAAAAAAGAACATCATGCTAAATAAAACAAGATTCAGAAAGTTATGATGCACAGAACTGAATAAACATTAATGATACCTTGATCATATATATCAGCCACTTTGGTAAATGATCTGTAAATAAGAACAGTTTTGCTTTTTCTTTACCAAGAATTATTTTTTTTCCTGTCTTATTACACTGATCACAACCTCCAGATCAGTGTTAAAATGAAGCAATGATAGTAGACATCCTTTTCTTGCTTCTGATTTTAAAGGATTTACTTATTTTGAATTGTTTAATGTTTTCTCTCATATGTGCATAGTAGACAGAAAAACTTAATGAAAAGGCGGCTCTTATGAAAACAGGGGGATCAGTAGAGTAGAAGTAGGGGGCAAGGGGAAGAAGGTAGATCACTCCTGGTAAGGACATGGGCCTCATGAGACTATTCAAGTTCCAATTTACTATTATTCCAAATGTTGTTTGGATTTTTTCTTATAAAATATTAACAGATAAATGCAGAACTTAACAGCTAAATCCTGCGTTGGTTATTTGCTCTGTCTCAATACCAAAGCTTACAAAGATCTTGAAAATTATTGCTTGGTTTTCTGTTACTGTGTTTTAGACTGTCACATCAGTGGTGTTCATTTACTGATTTACTTCTAGATGTACATCTCTTTTTTAAAAAATACTTTTTTAGTTATTCATGGACACAATATCTTTATTTTGTTTATTCATTTTTATGTGGTGCTGAGGATGGAACCCAGTGCCCCACATGTGCA